ATGTTTCGGCTTGGGTCTAATTGTCCACGCTCAACTGACGTTGGCTCTAATTGTCCACGGCCCCCTTACGTCGTGGCAAGCTTGGGGGCCACTTCCTGAAGTCGTGGAGTTCTTCCATTACTAGTGCGGTACATTTCATGAAAGCGTGTTTATTTTTAAATATTACTTATTTATCTTACCAGGATAGTGCCCCACTGAGCTGTTGTGTACCTAATTTTTTGACAAGCGACCTGTCCATCACTAATGTTAGCTCAACTAAGTGGCTTGTCATCATCATAGCGTGGACATCTATGGGTCTCTGTGTGAGTCTATGGTCTATGTGTGAGTCTATGTGTCTCTATGTGAGTCTATGGGTCTCTGTGTGAGTCTATGGGTCTCTGTGTGAGTCTATGGGTCTCTGTGTGTGAGTCTGTGTCTCTATGTGAGTCTATGGGTCTCTGTGTGAGTCTATGGGTCTCTGTGTGAGTCTATAGGTCTCTGTGTGAGTCTATGGGTCTCTGTGTGTGAGTCTATAGGTCTCTGTGTGAGTCTATGGGTCTCTACGTGAGTCAATGTGTCTCTGTGTGAGTCTATGGGTCTCTGTGTGAGTCTATGGGTCTCTGTGTGTGAGTCTATAGGTCTCTGTGTGAGTCTATGGGTCTCTGTGTGAGTCTATGGGTCTCTGTGTGGGTCTATGGGTCTCTGTGTGAGTCTATGGGTCTCTGTGTGAGTCTATGGGTCTCTGTGTGAGTCTATGGGTCTCTGTGTGAGTCTATGGGTCTCTGTGTGAGTCTATGGGTCTCTGTGTGGGTCCATGGGTCTCTGTGTGAGTCTATGGGTCTCTGTGTGAGTCTATGGGTCTCTGTGTGAGTCTATGGGTCTCTGTGTGAGTCTATGGGTCTCTGTGTGAGTCTATGGGTCTCTGTGTGAGTCTATGGGTCTCTGTGTGAGTCTATGGGTCTCTGTGTGAGTCTATGCGTTTCTGTGTGAGTCTATGAGTCTCTGTGTGAGTCTATGGGTCTCTGTGTGAGTCTATGCGTTTCTGTGTGAGTCTATGCGTTTCTGTGTGAGTCTATGTGTCTCTATGTGAGTCTATGGGTCTCTGTGTGTGTCTATGTGTCTCTGTGTGAGTCTATGGGTCTCTGTGTGAGTCTATGTGTCTCTGTGTAAGTTTGTGGGTCTCTGTGTGAGTCTATGGGTCTCTGTGTGAGTCTGTGTCTCTGTGTGAGTCTATGGGTCTCTGTGTGAGTCTATGGGTCTCTGTGTGTGAGTCTATGGGTCTCTGTGTGAGTCTATGGGTCTCTGTGTGAGTCTATGGGTCTCTGTGTGAGTCTATGGGTCTCTGTGTGAGTCTATAGGTCTGTGTGTGAGTCTATGTGTCTTTGTGTGAGTCTATGTGTCTCTGTGTGAGTCTATGGGTCTCTGTGTGAGTCTATGGGTCTCTGTGTGAGTCTATGGGTCTCTGTGTGAGCCTATGGGTCTCTGTGTGAGTCTATGTGTCTCTGTGTGAGTCTATGGGTCTCTGTGTGAGTCTATGGGTCTCTGTGTGAGTCTATGGGTCTCTGTGTGAGTCTATGGGTCTCTATGTGAGCCTATGTGTCTCCATCCGTTGGCTGGGAGATGTTAACTCCCTCCCTTGGTCTACAGGAGGTCGTGGGTTCGATCCCGACCCTGATGCTGTATATTTGGAGTTTCTGCGTCTCTCTCTCTCCCCGTGATGGTCACGTGGATTTGTCTCCGGGGCCTCCGGTTTTCCCCTCCACGTTTAGAATCAACGTCACCACGCGTTTAGAGTGTTTGCAATACATTTCCACGCAATGATGATAATACGCCACTTCTATTTGGCTATCTTGTTGTGATGGTCAAATCTCTTCTGACAAAGGAACTACACAGCTCAGTTGGAGCCTTACACCCCCCCCCCCCCGGGAGTTGAACCCTGCCCTGAACCCCCTGGGGACTGAACCTTGACCCCCCCGGGAGCTGAACCCTGCCCTGAACCCCCTGGGGACTGAACCTTGACCCCCCTGGGAGCTGAACCCTGCCCTGACCCTCCTGGGACCTGAACCCTGACCGCCCTGGGAACTGAACCCTGACCCCCCTGGGAACTGAACCCTGCCCTGACCTCCCTGGGACTTGAACCCTGACCCCCCTGGGAACTGAACCCTGACCCCCCTGGGAACTGAACCCTGACCCCCTGGGAACTGAACCCTGACCCCCCTGGGAACTGAACCCTGACCCCCTGGGAACTGAACCCTGACCCCCATGGGAACTGAACCCTGACCCCCCTGGGAACTGAACCCTGACCCCCTGGGAACTGAACCCTGACTTGACCCCCCTGGGAACTGAACCCTGACCCCCTGGGAACTGAACCCTGACCCCCCTGGGAACTGAACCCTGACCCCCTGGGGACTGAATCCTGACTTGACCCCCCTGGGAACTAAACTCAGAGGCAGTGAGGAAGGAACGGGACTGGGCTTGGCAGCCACCGTGGGGGGGAGGGGGGGGTGACGCTGTTGCAATGAGCGGTGGTGGTGGTGGTGGTGTAATTACGTGAGTGCGCGAGTGCGTGAGTGAGTGCGTGATGGAGAGTGGTGGTGTAGCGGTCGAGAGAGTGAGTGCGTGAGTGATGAGTGAGTGATGAGTGAGTGAGTGATGAGTGAGTGATGAGTGAGTGAGTGAGTGGTGGTGTAGCGGTCGAGTGAGTGATGAGTGAGTGAGAGAGAGTGAGTGAGTGATGGAGAGTGAGTGAGTGATGAGTGAGTGAGTGATGGAGAGTGGCGGTGTAGCGGTCGAGGAAGTGAGTGATGGAGAGTGAGTGAGTGAGTGATGGAGAGTGAGTCAGTGAGTGAGTGATGGGTGAGTGATTCAGTGAGTGATGGGTGAGTGATTCAGTGAGTGATGGGTGAGTGATGAGTGAGTGATTCAGTGAGTGATGGGTGAGTGAGTGAGTGAGTTGGTGGGTGGGTGGGTGAGTGAGTCAGTGAGTGATGGGTGAGTTAGTGATGGGTGAGTGAGTTAGTGAGTGATGGGTGAGTGAGTGGGTGGATGTCCCCTTTCTCGGAAGAGAAGGGTGGACAACCCCCTCCAGTCGCTGAGCCAGGGAAAGGCCCCGTCACCCTCCAACCCGTCACCCTCCAACCCGTCACCCTCCAACCCATCATCCCACCCCCACTGTCCCACGCCTGTGGTTTGTGTGGGTGGTGCTCAACAGCAGCAGCAGTAGCAGCGGTGTCTTAGCGGCCCTGTAGGTCTATCTCAGCAGCCCTCGTGCATCCACGGGGCTTTCCTTGAGTGTGCAGACGTGCGTGTAGGTGTGTGTTTGTAGACGTGTGTGTAGGTGTGTGTTTGTAGGTGTGTGTGTAGGTGTGTGTGTGTAGGTGTGTGTGTGTAGGTGTGTGTAGGTGTGTGTAGACGTGTGTGTAGGTGTGTGTGTAGGTGTGTGTGTAGGTGTGTGTAGACGTGTGTGTAGGTGTGTGTGTATAGACGTGTGTGTAGGTGTGTGTGTGTAGACGTGTGTGTAGACGTGTGTGTAGGTGTGTGTGTGTAGACGTGTGTGTAGATGTGTGTGTTAGGTGTGACGAGCTCACAAATCCTTGCAAGATCGGTGAGCTCCTCCGGCAGGCAAGGCTGCGTTGGCTGGGTCATGTAGCCCTCATGCCCAGCCACCGCGTGCCTAAACAGCTTTTGTTCGGCCGGATGGAGGGGGCTAAACGGGCGCGGCATGGGCTCATCTCAGTCATCTCAGTCAGTCGACCCGTGGCACCTGCTGGGTCCGCCCCGTGACATCCTGCCAGCGGGCTTTCGACACTTCACGTGGCCTCAAGGTGCACTTGGCCTGGCACAAGCATCGTGGTGACGTCACCGCCACTTAGTGGCGAATGGCGGTTGTTGTTGTTGTTGTGTGTGTGTAGGTGTATGTGTGTTGATGTGTATAGGCGTGTGTGTGTGTCGTTTTGTGTCTGGATGTGAGTTGTAACTCAACCCAAGTTCTCAAAGCGTTTTGAGCTCATGATGGTCTCAAGCCCACACAGAGACCCACAGACTCACACAGAGACCCACATACTCACACAGAGACCCACAGACTCACATAGAGACCCATAGACTCACACAGAGACACATAGACTCACACAGAGACCCGTAGACTCACACAGAGACCCATAGACTCACACAGAGACCCGTAGACTCACACAGAGACCCATAGACTCACACAGAGACCCATAGACTCACACAGAGACCCATAGACTCACACAGAGACCCGTAGACTCACACAGAGACCCATAGACTCACACAGAGACCCATAGACTCATAGACTCACACAGAGACCCACAGACTCACACAGAGACCCGTAGACTCGCACAGAGACCTACAGACTCACACAGAGACCCATAGACTCACACAGAGACCCATAGACTCACACAGAGACCCGTAGACTCACACAGAGACCCGTAGACTCACACAGAGACTCACACAGAGACCCATAGACTCACACAGAGACCCATAGACTCACATAGAGACTCACACAGAGACCCATAGACTCACACAGAGACCCATAGACTCACACAGAGACCCATAGACTCACACAGAGAGACCCATAGACTCACACAGAGACCCGTAGACTCACACAGAGACTCACACAGAGACCCGTAGACTTACACAGAGACCCATAGACTCACACAGAGACCCATAGACTCACACAGAGACCCGTAGACTCACACAGAGACCCGTAGACTCACACAGAGACCCGTAGACTCACACAGAGACCCATAGATGATGATGATGCTAATTCTCCTGCTGCTGATGATGCTAATTCTGCTGCTGCTGATGATGATGATGTTAATTCTCCTGCTGATGATGATGATGCTAATTCTCCTGCTGCTGCTGCTGATGCTAATTCTGCTGATGATGATAATTCTGCTGATGATGCTAATTCTGCTGCTGCTGCTGATGATGATGCTTATTCTCCTGCTGCTGATGATGATGCTAATTGTGCTGCGTCTGCGCCGTGTGTTCCCCGCGCGCAGTTTGGCCAGCGAGCGGTGGGCGAGCTCGACGAGAAGCTGTTTGAGGAGCTGCTGGAGCAGAAGGCCGACCCCATCGTGGGCGCCCTGGAGCCGGGCATGTACGCCGGCTACTTCGACTGGAGCGACTGCCTCTCGCCCACTGGTACACACGCACACACGCACGCACACACGCACGCGCACGCACACGCACGTACACACGCACGCACGCACGCACGCACGCACGCACACACACACGCACGCACACACGCACACACATGCACACATGCACACGCGCACACACACGCACCAATACCCGCCGCCTTTCGCCACCAAGTGACGGGGACGTCGCCACGGCGCCTGTGCCAGGCTAGGTGCACTTTGAGGCCTTGACGTGAGGTGTCGTAGTTTACGGGACAGGCCCAGCATGTGCCACGGGGGTCGAGTGAGATTGACACACGTACACGCACACAGTGTGCACACACGGGTGTGTAAGCACACTGCTCCTCACACACTCGCACACTCACACACTCACACACTCACACACACGCACACAGTGTGCACACACGGGTGTGTAAGCACACTGCTCCTCACACACTCGCACACTCACACACTCACACTCGCACACTCACACACTGACACACTCACACACTCGCACACACGGGTGTGTAAGCACACTGCTCCTCACACACTCACACACACTCACACACGCACACACTGACACACGCACACACTGACACACTCACACACTCACACACACGGGTGTGTAAGCACACTGCTCCTCACACACACACTCACACACACACACTCACACACACTCACACACACGCACACACTGACACACACTCGCACACACTCGCACACACGCCGCAATGTTTGTTGACAGTCGTCGCCGCTCGTCGCAAAGGTCACGAGGTGCACCGTGTTAGGTGGAGGTCGCCCTCACGGCCTACTGGAGGGGGGCAGGGTGAGAAGGGTGAGGAGGGTGAGGAGGGTGAGGAGGGTGAGGAGGGTGAGGAGGGAGGGAGGAGTAGGAGGCCTCGCGTGGTTGTTCAGGTCTTGACTCCCGTCCCCCCGCCGCTGTGCGTCGTCAACCACACGAGGGTGACGCGATTCCTCACGACGGCTGCGTGAACCGGGCTCAACCGTCACGTGGACGTCGCACGAACGTCGCCCGAACGTCGCCTGAACGTCGCCCGAATGTCACCCAAACCTCGCCCGAACGTCACCCGAACGTTACCTGAACGTCGCCTGAACGTCACCTGAACGTCGCCCGAATGTCGCCCGAATGTCACCCGAACGTCACCTGGACGTCGCCCGAACATCGCCCGAACCTCGCCCGAATGTCACCCGAACGTCACCCGAACGTCACCTGAACGTCGCCCGAACGTCGCCTGAATGTCGCCTAAACATCGTCGGAAAGTCGCCCGAACGTCGCTGGAAAGTCGCCCGAACGTCGCTGGAAAGTTGCCCGAACGTCGCCCGAACGTCGCCCGAACGTCATCCGTTGTGACCTGGTCACGTCGCTCGGCCTTACCGGGGGAGCGGCGTTGCATCGCAGCGTGTTGCGTGTTACAACGTTGCGTGTTGCATGTCACAATGCAGTGTGTTGCGTGTTACATCGCAGCGTGTAGCGTGTTACAACGCAGCGTGTAGCGTGTTACATCGCAGCGTGTAGCGTGTTACAACGCAGCGTGTAGCGTGTTACAACGCAGCGTGTAGCGTGGAGCTGCCGTGTGGACTCGCCGTGCCTGGTGGCCACGCTCGTCGTTCCCCTCGTCGCGGCAACACGGAGGGGGGAGAATTCTCTCGTAAATCCTCGGTTCGTTAGGGCACAGAACCGTCGTGATGTGGTGACACACGCACGGATGGGATGGACGCAGGGATGGACCTGGTGATTGCCGCTGTGTGTCTGTGTGCGTGTGTGTGCGTGTGTGTGTGTGTGTGCGTGTGTGTGTCTGTGTGTGTGTGTGTGTCTGTGTGTGTGTCTGTGTGCGTCTGTGTGCGTCTGTGTGTCTGTGTCTGTGTGTGTGTGTGTCTGTGTGTGTGTCTGTGTGTGTGTGCGTGCGTGTGTGTGTGTCTGTGTGTGTGTCTGTGTGTGTCTGTGTGTATCTGTGTGTGTCTGTGTGTGTGTCTGTGTGTCTGTGTGTGTCTGTGTGTCTGTGTGTGTGTCTCGTGCAGGCGTCAGGAATTACATCAAGGAGACGCTGATGCACATCACCGCTGTCCACGCCGAGGTGAGGCCGTCACACGCATACCCGCACGCACACACCACACGCACGCACGCACACATACACCACACCACACGCACACACCACACGCACGCACGCACACGCACGCACACGCATGCACACGCACACACACGCACACGCACACACGCATGCACACGCACACACACGCATGCACACATCACACTACACACACGCACCACACCACAACAACAACAACAACAACCGCCATTCGCCACTAAGTGGCGGTGACGTCACCACGATGCTTGTGCCAGGCCAAGTGCACCTTGAGGCCATGTGAAGTGTCGAACGCCCGCTGGCAGGAGGTCACAGGGCAGACCCAGGTGCCACGGGTCGACTGACCGAGATGACCGAGATGACTGGCTGATGCACCACCTGTGCCCCCTACTGTACCAACTGGCTGTGCTTTAGCCACCCGGCGCTCCGCTCGTTGTTGTGAGCGTCGCTCCTCCGCCCTCCGTTGTTGTTGGAGGGCGACTGCCTCCAACTGCCCAGTAGCGTCCTTCACGAGCCTCCTCCACTGAGGCCGATCTTGACACCGCTGGTACCAGTCATCGGCAAGTCCACTCAGCTCCACGTCCTCCTGTACCACATCACTCCATCTCTTCTCTAGCCCGTGCCGCGCCCGTCTAGCCCACTCGATCCGGCCGAACAAAAGCTGTTTAGGCATGCGGTGGCTGGGCATGCGGGCTACATGACCCAGCCAACGCAGCCTTGCCTGCCGGAGGAGCTCACTGATGGGACTTTGCCCAGATCTTTCAAGGATTTGTGAGCTCCTCACACAATCCAGCCTGGTTAAACCCAGGATGATGCCATAACTCACAGATGCCATATTTTCTGTCCGTCTGCTACAGCAGAGGTGTAGGGAATTCCAAAAAGACCTACATCTCTGCTTTATTGACCTGGTCAAGGCCTATGATACCATCAGTAGGACTGGGCTCTGGGTTGTTCTTCGTGCTTTCGGAGTCCCTGACCCTCTGCTCACGATCATTAAGGACCTTCATGATGGTGAGCGGGCCCGGGTAAAACTACGTGGCCGGGAGTCGGAGCCATTCACCTTGGGGTACGACAGGGATGTCCTCTGGCTCCCACATTATTTAACATCTATTTTGACCGCGTAGTTCGTGAAGCCTTAAATAGCTGTACCGGGGGAATTTCCATTTGGTACAGATATAATGGGAGGCTGATCGATGCCCGGGTGCGATCAAGGGATGGCTCCCTATTGGTCAACCACGTTATGTATGCCGATGATTTGGTAATAGCTGCTCATTCAGAAGAGTAGTTGGAGACGCTGCTGCTGAGACTGGAGCGTGCCACTAAGAGGTGGGGCCTTACCATCAGCCCCACCAAAACTAAGCACCTGCCTGGGTATTTTGTACCATCGGACACTCCACCCCCACAACTCCCAATTGGTGATGGGGCAGTTGTGGAGAGAGTGGAGAGTTTCCCATACCTGGGCAGTGTGCTTATGACCGGCTCCAGTTTATCAGCAGAGGTCTCACTCCGAATCAGTCGAGCGGCAATATCTTTTCATCGGTTGCGTAACGCTGTGTGGAAGCTACCTGGTCTGTCGCTCCGCACGAAGCTTCAGGTCTTCTCGGCCACGGTCATTCCCTCCCTTCTCTACGCTTGCGAAACGTGGACCCCCCTAGTGGAGCATTTTCGCCGGTTGGAAACATTTAGGCTGGCCTGCCTACGATCCATCCTGGGTTTAACCACACCACACACACGCACACACACACGCACACACACACACGCACGCATGCACACATCACACCACACACACGCACCACACCACACACGCACACGCACACACACGCACACACACCACACACACACACGCACACACACCACACACGCACACACACTCGCACACACACGCGCACACACACGCACGCACGCACGCACGCACACACACACGCGCATGCACGCACCCGCACACACACTCACACACGCCCGCACACTCACAGGCACGCACACTCATGCACACGCGCACAACCACTCGCTCATTACACGCCAAGATCTTGCCACAAATTCACGGCAGCCGTCTGGAACGCTCTCCCTTCGGACATCAGGAAGCCTCTGGAGCCGTGATGCACTCTGACGTCATTGTCATCGTCTAGATCGACACAAACCCGTGACCCGGGTTCACTTCCCACTCACGGTCGACACCAGTGACAACGGTTATCTGAACCGGTCCTTGGACCTCCCCTAGGTCGACTCGGCCTCACATGAGTACCCGGTGCGGTGTACAAACATGGCTACCGGGGAGACAAAGGCGGCCGGGCGTGGTGCTGGCCACCCACCCCTCGTGTGCCACGGTGCCGGTAGCCTTCGTAGGCGCTGCTGCTGCTACTCGCTACTACCAGCACTTGCCCCCAACAGTCTGTCACAGGCTACACGGGGGATCTTTGTCTGTGTGTGTTTGTGTAGCGCTGTGTTTGCCTACGATGTGTGTTCACGGGGGGAGCGGCGGCGCAGCGGTTAGCGCTACGGACCCGGCGACACGATTTCAATTCCCACGCTCATGGCCAACACCGGTGACGAATGTGTAAAACCGGTGCCGGGCTTTCCCTAGGTCAACTCAGACTCAAACGTTTGCCTGGCACGGTGTGTCGTGAGCATCGTTAGCGGGGAGACAAAGGCGGTCGGGTGCGGTGCTGGCCACAACACCTGTTGTATGTGCCACACGGTGGCTAGGAGATGTTGACTATCTCGCCTGGTGTGCAGGAGATCGTGGGTTTGATCCAGACCCTAACGCCTGCTGTGTATTTGGAGTCTGCGTGTCTCTCTCTCATCATCATCACGGTGGCTAGGAGATGTCTACTACCTCGCCTGGTGTGCAGGAGGTCGTGGGTTCGATCCAGACCCTGACACCTGCTGCTGTATATTTGGAGTTTGCGTGTCTCTCTCATCATCATCACGGTGGCTAGGAGATGTTCACTACCTCGCCTGGTCTACAGGAGGTCGTGGGTTCAACCCGACCCTGACGCCTGCTGCTGTATATTTGGAGTTTGCGTGTCTCTCTCTCATCATCATCACGCTGGCTAGGAGATGTTCACTACCTCGCCTGTCTACAGGAGGTCGTGGGTTCAACCCGACCCTGACGCCTGCTGCTGTATACAGGCAGTCTCTACTTACGACGGAGATGCGTTACGACGACCCCATCGTAAGTCAAAAATATCGTAAGGCGAAGATGGCCTCGCCTACCCAGGAGTCTTAAAGAATGGTGATAATTTAGCAAAACAGTGCAATTTACAGTACCGTACGGTATAAACTATATACCGTATGTATTTATTAATTACGATACTGTATTGCACAGTAAAATGTAAATAAAAAACAAGGTGAATTCTTAGCCTACCGATATGAACTGCAATTTAATGGAAAGCTTTTTCAGGAAACAATCCGCGCAGCGTCCCGACGCGCAGCATCGTACCTCGTACGATGCTGTGCGTTTGCCTGCCGCGCGAAATGTAAATATCTTACAACTTCTTGGTTCTTTTGGTAAAGTCACGTAGAGGGGAAATAAAAAAATAATAAAAAAATTATTATAAAAATTGCGACATAGAATTGTAATGTATTACTTATTGTTAGTAGCTCAGCTTATTGGAGAGTATATTTAGTATACTGATGATACTATGTATTTTATACTTTAGTTTTTTACGTGGTGGTTTAGTTACTGCAGCTACATACTATTAATATTCCTTCCCTTTATTAATGCTACCCCTATCCCCTCCCTTTGATGCTGCTAATCCTGCATAATGCACGGCATAATATGACTTTGAACCCCCCTGCCCACCTCCTACGCATTTCACAAGCAGTGACTAATCCCATGTCTGCATTTCCCATAAATATGCTAAATTCCTCTTGATATGCAAATTATTTTGTCAAGGCTCTCTTCCCCCTCCAACCCAGCTTAAATAGACGCTCCAAGCCTGGGGTGTTTCATTCAGACGCTGTCTTCTCGACAGACCTGTTCTTGCGTTGTGGCCGAAACGTCGTGAGAGTTAAATTTTTTTTTTTATTTTATTATGTTTTATTTGTATTATTCTATTATTTCCCTTCTACGTGACTTTACCAAAGAACCAAGAATATGAATCCCTGCAGTCACGAAAGCTTTAAATAGAATTATTTTATTATGTTTTATTTGTATTATTCTATTACTTCCCTTCTACGTGACTTTACCGAAATAACCAAGAAGATGAATCCCTGCAGTCACGAAAGCTTTAAATCGAAAAAAAATATTTTACAAGTTTGTCGTATTCGCCATCGTAAGATCAAAATGTTGTAAGTCAGACCCCCGTAACTCGGGCACTACCTGTACTTGTAGTTGTGTCTCTCTCTCCCCGTGGTCGCGTGGATTTGTACTCTGGATTCTCCGCTTTTTCCCTCCACACTCCTTTATTCTTTCGGTAAAGTCACCGTAGGTTTCAAATAAAATAAAATAAAAACAGTCTGCATCAGCAGCAGACCATGCTTTCCCACCTGTTGACGGATGCTTGTGTTGCGCCCGAAACGTCGTGATTTATTTTATTTTTCTACCCACGTGACTTTACCGACAGAACCAAAGAGTATGGATCCCTGCGGTCACGAAAGCTTCGAATCAACATTTCCCCTCCACATTTAGAATCAACATCACACGTTCAGAGTATGTGGCTACTGCTGTACTATTCCACGTGTGATGATGACGATGACAAGGAACTCTGTTGAGCTTTCATTTGCGATGGGTCAGGGTCGCTTGTTGAAAAAGAGCTACGCAGGACAGCTCAGTGGGACATTACATGGTAAAATAAAAAATAGTTTAGTTTTAATATGGGTCTCTGTGGGTTGCTGTGGGTCTATGGGAGTGTAGGTCTCCATGAGTATGGGTCTCTGTGGGTCTCTATTAGTGTGGGGCTCTGTGGGTCTATATTAGTGTGGGTCTCTGTGGGTCTCTGTGGGTCTATATTAGTGTGGGTCTCTGTGGGTCTCTATTAGTGTGGGGCTCTGTGGGTCTCTGTGGGTCTATATTAGTGTGGGTCTCTGTGGGTCTCTGTGGGTCTATATTAGTGTGGGTCTCTGTGGGTCTCTGTGGGTCTCTGTGGGTCTATATTAGTGTGGGTCTCTGTGGGTCTCTATGAGTGTGGGGCTCTGTGGGTCTCTATTAGTGTGGGTCTCTATTAGTGTGGGTCTCTATTAGTGTGGGTCTCTGTGGGTCTCTATGAGTATGGGTCTCTGTGGGTCTCTATGAGTGTGGGTCTCTGTGGGTCTCTATTAGTGTGGGTCTCTATGGGTCTCTATGAGTATGGGTCTCTGTGGGTCTCTATGAGTATGGGTCTCTGTGGGTCTCTATTAGTGTGGGTCTCTGTGGGTCTCTATGAGTATGGGTCTCTGTGGGTCTCTATGAGTGTGGGTCTCTGTGGGTCTCTATTAGTGTGGGTCTCTATGGGTCTCTATGAGTATGGGTCTCTGTGGGTCTCTATGAGTATGGGTCTCTGTGGGTCTC